CTGCAAAAGTATTGTATAATTTAAAGCATTTCACACTAGCTGTGTAAGAACTCAAGTCAGTCCTATCATCAGCCTAGCTACTGTGTAACATTCCCCTGACTGCAAGGAATTGATAAAGAACAAAAACAACTCAGGCAACATTTTTTTTAACTTACAGTAATCAAAATGTGGATGCAGAGTAGAAAGTTCATAAATTAATGGCTATTTATACCCATAAAGTATATGTAATTGCCTTATGTCCTGTATGCAGCTCATAAACCAGATGTCCACTATGTTACTTTCTATCACAAACATTCCTCTGATTATGAGAATCCTTATAATTTTATGTGAAATATTGAACTAGCATGACTATGAACAACAACAACAAAATCTTCTTTACATAAGACAAATACATATGCAAGTGTGAACATGAAGTGTGGGATTTGGCTGGGTTTTAGAAAAGACTCAGATTAACTTTTGTGCTTGTCGTGGTTTAACCCAACAGGCAACTAAGCACCGTGCTACAGTTTGTTCATTCCTCTACAGAGTGAGATGGGGAGAGAATCAGAAAAAATGGCTCATTTGTTGATATTAAGACAACTTAATAGGGTAGAGAAGTAAGAGAAATAATAATAATCATTGAATACAAAGTTTTTCTTGCTGACCAATGTCAAGCCAGCCCCTGAGTAGTACCAGTCCCCTTAGTACCCCCCAGCTTAATTTTTTTAGTGAGGTCCAGCTATTCCGGCTATCCTCCCAGCTTCTTGCGCCTCCCCAGCCTGTTCACTGGCAGAGCAGCATGAGAAACTGAAAATACCATGAATTTTCAGCAAGTACTAATTGACAACATCTAAAACAATAGTGTTTTATCAATATTATTCTGATTCCAAATCTGAAACATAATACCATATTAACTATTACAAAGTTAACTCCATACTTTTTTAACTAATTACTTATATTCTGTTGGTCTTAACTTTTAATGACGTAACTTAACTTGTGTAGATGTAAGATGGGTGGCATTTTACTGCTATGGAGGAATACTGAGGATTAATGCATTAAAAGATTTCGTAAGGCTGAGAAACTCTAGATATTGGAACTATGTAAATAATAAATTGACAGGAAACATAGTGATCATGAATGGATAGAGTTGTTTCAGCCAAAGCGCTCAAATATGGTCCTAAATTCTTAGCCAATCAGTAGTGAAATATTAAGAAAAACTGAACAAGAGCAATTAAACGTATAGGAAGCAAGTATATCCTACAAATCTTTGTAGTCCCTGAGGTTTGATGTCACCCACAGGTTCTTTAACTGCTTTCAACACAAATTAATATAGAAACTGCTATGCTTTAGTAAAAACAATTCTCCCACAAATATTTATACAAATACATCAACAGTAAGAGGGGGCTAGGGAGAACCTGCATCCTTTGTTGGATACAGAGGGGAACACGGTGACCAAGGATCAGGATAAGGCTGTGGTACTTAATGCCTTTGCCTTTAATAAGAAATCTTTAATAAGATTAGTTGTTCCCTGGGCACACAGCCTCTTGCGCTGGAAGATAGGTATGCGGAACAGCATAGGGCCAGCAAAATCCATGAGGTAATGGTTTTGGATCTGCTTCAAAAGCTGGACACTCACAAGTTCTTGGAGTCAGATGGACTGCACCCTGAAATGCCGAGGGAGTTGGCAAATGTGGTTGCCAAGGCACTCTCAATCATCCTTCAACAATCCTGGCTAACCGGGAATCTCCCAGTAGACTTGAGATTGGCAAATGTGACATCCATCCTTAAAAAGGGCTGGAATGATGATCATGGTTACTACAGACCTATCAATCTCACATCACTGGCAGGGAAGGTTATAGAATGGATAATCTCAAGAGCCATCACAGATCATTTCAAGGTCAACCAGGAGATCAGGTCCAGTCAGCATGGCTTCATGCTTCTGCTTGACAAACTTGATACTGTTCTATGACAAGGTGACCCATTTAGTGGATTGAAGGTAAAGCTGTCAGTGTGGTCTACCTGGACTTCAGTAAAGCCTTTGACACTGTCCCCTGCAACATCCTCATGGAGAAGCTGGCTGTGCATGGGTTGGATGGGCATGCACTCTGCTGAGTGAAACACTGGCTGGATTGCTGTGTCCGAAGACCTGTGGTCAATTGAGTTAAATCCAGTTGGTGGCCAGTCACAAGTGGTGTTTCCCAGGGCACAGCATAGGGACCACAACTGTTTAACACCTTTATTAATGATCTTGATGGGGGGATTGAGTGCACTCTCAGTAAGTTCATAGTTGACATCAATCTGGGAGGGAGTGTTGATCTACCAGAACGGAGAAAGGCACTACAGAAGGACCTGGATAGACTGGATTAATTGGCCAAGATAAATTGTATGAGTTTCAATAGAGCCAAGTGTTGGGTCCTGCATTTTGGTCACAACAGCCCCAGGCAACATTACAGTCTTGGGGAGCAGTAGCTGGAGAGCTGCCTGATGGAAAGGGACCTTGTTGTACTGATGGACAGTACAGAATATGAGCCAGGAGTGTGACCAGGCATCCTGGCTTGTATCAAGAATGGTGTGGTGAGCAGGTCTAGGGAAGTAATCCTATGCCTGTACTTGACACTGGTGAGGCCCTGCCTTGAATACTGTGCTCAGCATATGGGCACCTCAATTTAGAAAAGACATTGAGGTGCTGGAGAGCAGGTGCAAAGAAGGGCAACAAAGCTTGTGAAGGGGTTGGAGAATATGCTCTACGAGGAGTGATTCAAGGATCTGGGGCTGTTTAGTCTGAGGAAGAGGATGCTGAGGGGAGACCTTATTGCTGTCTTCAAATACCTGAATGGTGATTGCAGCAGGTGCTTGGTTGGTCTCTTCTCACTGGTGACAGTGACAGGGCAAGGAGAAATGGCCTCAAGTTGCACCAGGGGAGGTTTTGGCATCAGGAAGAGCTTATTTACAGAAAGGGTCGTTAAGCACTAGAATAGGTTTCCCAAGGAAGTGGCTGAGTCACCATCCCTGAAACACCAAAATCTGTTTGGATGTGGTGCTCAGGGACATGATTTACTGGGGGGTTGTTAGAGTTGGGGTAGTATGGTAAGGTTGAGGTTGGACTTGATGATTTTGAGACTCTTTTCCAATCTCAGCAATTCTATGACTCTGTGATTCTATATGCTTACTTAAATTGTTAACCTAGTATCTCTACCAGATTGTAACTATGTGTGAAACTCTTTATTAGCTATAGGATCTCTGCCCAAACACAGCTGAGACTCAAATCTGCTTACAAACATGAAGTCTTTAATTTGGAAGTAACAATATTTGACTTGCGAATTAGAACAACTATGTAAATGGATTTTAATGACCTTTCATTTCCTTGACTGATATCGAAAACTCTGAAATGCCTTCTGTGGATTCACAAGTGTACAACACAGATAATCTATCCTGAATACAAATAGGATGGAGTAGTAAAGAGCTTTCTTTTCTTACTTTTAATAAGGGTAATTAAATTCTATCCATTCCCTGTATGCATCGAATCTCTTTGAATGAGTGGTCTTTGTTGAATTTTTATGAGAAACATCACAATATACTGGACTGAAATAGCTGTAACTGCTACTTTTTTGAAAGTTGCATCTTGTTTCCAATCTGGTTTTTGGTATTTGGCAATAAAACCATATATTCAACATAAAATGGACTGAAAAAATAATGAAATTTCTAATTGAAGTGCTGATCAGAGAGGATTTAGTTTTTAAGATTTTTTTTTTTTCTCTAACAGTATTAGTGATTTGTACAAAACTCTCTTTACATTTTGATGATAGCAAATCATCAAACACATTGTGCAACAGATCCGAGCAGTTTATTAAACAAGTTTATTCCTTGTTTATTAAGGAACTGCCTCTCTCTGTAGGAGAAAAATAACCATTAAAAATTTTTGGTACATTGGTAGGCCTACATACATAAGGTACATAAGGGGAAAATATTATTTTTTGTTGCTTGTTAACATGCTGCCTAAACTCTAAATTACACTATTTACCAATGTTTCATATTAATATTCAGTACTAGTGAACTAGCTTTCAGTGCACCAACAATTTAAATCAGGCTTGACCTTCTCAAAGCCATTTGGTACTGTCAGTTTGAGAGGCCATTAAAGAGCAGATTTTTCTGTCCTTGTGGTTAGTGAATAGCATATATATCAAAAGTTTTGCTTATGATGACAAAGATTTAGGAATAGAGCACATTCTTTGAATTTATTAGATGCTGTAACAGCATAAGTCTCAATTAAACACTGTGTTCCATTACTGACATTAAGAAAATACATTAACTCCTGTGCTAGTATCACTTCTAAAAGAGGTCTTCAAAAGTTATTTGCTCTCAAATGTTTGATCTGAACAACATCATAGGCAATTACAAAGACTGATTATCGTATGAACTCTTAAGAGATGATGATTTGAAGCTTTCTTGCCTTTTCTTTTTATCAATCACAGTTGTTCTTGAGTGCATTTCTAAACATTCTCTTTGTGTAGTCAGTCTGTTCGACACTGCTTATCTGTAAAAAAAACTCCAAGAGATTCCTTCCTCTAGCTAAACTCAGCTTTTGAGTAACTGTTAGTTTTGAAGGGAATGCATTTTGAAAATACTCATATTTCAAGTAGAATTATTCTCTAACAAAAAGAATCCATGTTCATTTTTAAGAGTGTCCATAAAAAAAAAAAAACACAAAACAACTACAACAAAAAACTCTATACATATCTGTGGCATAAATACATATGACAAATTCTACTATTTTCCTTCTTTAACTATAACTTATAACTCTTGAACAACAATAACAAAAATGCTACTCCAGTCTTTCATTTTCAAATGTTACAAATCTTCAATAAGATTTCAGCATGTTTAGAAGCATGTATGCTGTAAAATTTACATACATATAAAAGAAGGATCCAAAGAAAGAGAAAGAATCAAACCTAATACAATGGATTTCACTCTTCATGATAAATCTACCAACATGATTAAAATAAGAGAATGCTATTTTCATC